ATATATATATATATATATATATATATATATATATATATATATATATATATATATATATATATATATATTCTTTGAAAGTCATTTTCTTGTTATATATTCAAATATTGTTAGAATTCAATAAATACGGCTGCGTATAAACATTTTTTAATATATACTTTTTCTTTAATATATAATTTTTTTGATATTTCGCTGATCTATCGTGATCAGCGTCAATTATACCTGATGACGCTAATCACGAGAGATCAACGAAATATCGAAATAATTATATATTAAAGAAAAAATATATATATATATTTAAAAAGGTTTATACGCAGCCGTATTTATTGAATTCTACCCATATTTTAACTTATTACAAGAAAATGACTTTCAAAGAATATATGTATATATATATATATATATATATATATATATATATATATATATATATATATATATATATATATATATATATATATACATGTATATATATATATATATATATATATATATATATATATATATATATATATATATATATATATATATATATATATATATATATATATATATATATATATATATATATATATATATATATATATATATATATATATATAGTAAAATATAAGTACATTTGTGAACACTTGTTTTTTATTAGTAGCATCCGCCTTTAACTTTAAAAATTGGAGTTATGTCAACCTTTAATATCAACGAATAAAACTTGGTTAAACTTAAGTGTTTATATTATCAAATAAAGATTGTTTACATTTGTATATAACAGAAATTTTACTATTAAAGGCAAAAAATTCATTATGCAATATGATATTTTTGCCTTAAATGGTAAAAATCTGATGAGTTTATTTTAATTTACATTAGATTGTAGTATGATAGGTTGATTAAAAGTTATGAAATATCACGTGACAGTTATTTAAAAGTTTTGTAAATGATTTACTACATTCCTGATGACACAAATATAATTAGTAGCGCGTGTTGATACATCTTTTCACTTTAGTTTTTGAATTTCAAAACCTTTAATAAACTAAATATTTATTCTCATGATCATTAATTTCATATTAGGTTATAGAGGTTATCATATAAAATGAGTTTCCATATAAAGTGACCATATAAAGTGATTTTATTTAAAGTTTGTATTTAGAAAAGCAAAGCAGCTTTTTATTATTTAAGACAAAGAATTTTACCGTATGTAAAAGAATTACCGTATGTAATTACCGTATTTTAATGAGTTTCCATATATTAGGTTATAGAGGTTACCATATAAAATGAGTTTCCATATATTAGGTTATAGAGGTTACCATATAAAATGAGTTTCCATATATTAGGTTATAGAGGTTACCATATAAAATGAGTTTCCATATATTAGGTTATAGAGGTTACCATATAAAATGAGTTTCCATATATTAGGTTATAGAGGTTACCATATAAAATGAGTTTCCATATATTAGGTTATAGAGGTTACCATATAAAATGACTTTCCATATATTAGGTTATAGAGGTTACCATATAAAATGAGTTTCCATATAAAGTGACCATATAAAGTGAGTTTATGTAAAGTTTGTATTTAGAAAAGCTAAACAGCTTATTATTATTTTTGACAAAGAATTTTACCGTATGTTTATGTACGTATCTACTTTATCTATTTATGTACGTATTTTACCGTATGTTTATGTATATGTTTTGTACCATATGTTTATGTACGTATGTTGATTGTTTTATATTGTTTTTATCAAATTATAAAAATAAGGGGATTTCTTTTTTGTAAAAAAAAATAAAAAATCACCAAAAATAAATAAATAAAAAATTTATATAAAATGTTTTGTAAGGAGGATCCGCGCTTTAATAGAGAAAAAATGAAAAAGATATGACAAATAAAAATGAACAAAATAGAAATGACAAATTTTTACAAACGAGGAAATTTTTTTTTAATTTCATCAGCACCTCGTACGGTCATAGAGCATTGCGGATGAGTATTTAATTTAAAGCTCACTTCTCCTTCCTAACCATTTTTGCGAAATCTGTCCAGAAGTGCAGTTTTAACCACAAATCCTTTGTTTCTGAAACAAGTGCGCTGTCACTGCGCCACGGCTGCTCAAAAAATACAATTCTTATTTTAAGAAATATATTGCAAGGTAGTAATTTTATTTCTTATAACGAGAAATATATTTCTATTTCCCAGCAAATTCAGAAATCCATTGTCCATAGTGCAACAGCGTAGCAATGAGCCCAGAGTTATTAGGAACCCAAAATTTGGTAAAAAAGTTATTAGGGATTCAAAATGCAGTAGTGTTATAGTGGTGTAGCGGTGTAGTGGTAGAGCACTGGTTCTAAAACGAGTGGTTCCGAGTTCGATCCTAACCACATCCCTGGTAGTACCATGTTTAACTTGTTTCTCTATAATGTATCTCGTATTTTAGAGTTATGTAGTTGAGAGAGGGTTATAACTACAATTAATTAACCAAGGCCAAGACCACAAGTTACAAGGCCAAGGTCAAGACCAAGGCAAAAAGTTACAAGGCCAAGACCAAGAGTTTTGAGGTCAAGGCCAAGATTAAGAGTTTCAAGGCCAAGACGTACATAAAGCTTTTTTTTAGACTTAAGACTTCAATTTTTGCAATACGTTGAGGCCAACTCTTCACAAAACTGTAAGTAGCAAGTAATGTGAAAATAAAACCACATTTTGTAAAAATAGACCGGGGTTATGTACAGAATTCAACAAAACCAATAAAAAAACATATATTTCTTTTAAGGCTAAGGCCAAAACAATTAAAAATTTCAAAACCAAGGCCAAGGCCAACAGTTTCAAGACCAATGCTTAAATTTTTAGCCTTAAGGCCAGGCAAAGGCTAAGACCAAGGCAAGAACTAAAAACTCTGTATATAGCTAAGAATTGCAAATTCTCTTTCAGATTATTTTTTTTTCGCTTTAATAGTTATCTTGAATAGCACTACAAGCATTGAGCGAATTTTAATTTATTTATATCTAAATTTAAAACAAATTATATTAATCCATGAATAACACATTTTATTAAATGGCGTTGTGTATACTGTTATGGTTTAGCTGTTTCAGTTACACAATAACTAAAAAAAAAAAGCAAAAAAAATACAAATAGTACCATCAATGAAAGAGACTTTAAATCTATACAAAAAGGGATCATTTATTGTGTTTATTTTGACAAAATATGAAATAAGTAAAGATAAAAGAAGTAGGCTAAGTAGATTTTTTCCCTGGATCTATTAAAGACCAACATTACACTGTATGCATAAAACCAGGTGGTAGATTTTTGTTCACTTTACCCTAAAAAAGTCGATTAAAGAAGAGAAAAAATGCCAAAATAGTTGATTAAATGGATGTTTTATAGTTTATAGTTGCCTATAATTTAATTGAATGGATGTTATTTAACTGAATTGATTTTTTGGTGACAAATCAATACAAACGTTTTTTATAATCGGTTCTTAAGATTGTGGATTTCTTTACATTTTCTAACAAAAAAAAATTATAAATTATTTTTGCTTGTTTCAAATAAATATAATGCATTCTTGGATGGACCTCGACATCTGAGATTAAGTTTACGAACCATTTTTATATTTTAATTATATATATTTTAAATTAAGTATTTTAGTAGTTATTTGTTTTATATTTTAGTCATTAGACGTTAACATACTTTCATATTATGGTCATTTTTTCTCTCTAAAAACATACTTTCATATTATAGTCATTTTTTCTCTTTAAAAACATACTTTCATATTATAGTCATTTTTTCTCTCTAAAAAGGCAGATAATCCAATTAAGATATTTTCAGATCTCTTCTTAATTAACAGATACGGAGTTTTCATCACGTTTTTACAAAAATGAATTTCTGCTTACTTTTAAAGCCAAATAAATCTCAATATTACTTTTTAAAACAAGTACTTTTGTAAAGCTTTCATAAAACTCATCATAAAAAATATTATCAAATATTTTATAAAATTTGTTTTTTAATTTGTTATTTTTTGATACAAATTAGTCTCTTCGTTTTCTTTTTTTTTTTTTCTTTTTTCTTTTCGTTTTTTTAACAATATTTTTTGGTAAAATATTGTTGTACATAATATAAAAGAACACAAAAACTAGAAAAGGATCGTAAGATTTTGTCACCAAGAACCATTTAACAATGCAATAATAATAAACCAATAGTTTCAAAAAAATATAAAATAAGAAGTATATACCGTATATCTCAATTATAAAAAACTGTTAAAAGGCCAAAAAAATTAAAAAAAAAACAAAAAATATTTTAAATTACATCGGTGTATAATTCTCATTTTATATTTTTTTGAAACAATTAGTTTATTATTATTGTATTGTTAAATGGTTCTCGGTGACAAAATCTTACGAACCTTTTTTAGTTTCTGTGTTCTTTGGATAACACTTATAAAGGAGAAACAAGATCAGAAGAACTCGAATAGATTATCTATTGAGAAATTAATTTTTTTCAGTTTATTTTGTTGAAAAATTCCAATTTTGTGAAAAATCAAATTTTTTTTCAAACTATTTGGTTCCACTGAAAATATAGGGTAAGGTTGCCGATATTGTACCGGCGCCTAAATTGTACTTTTGCTGTATCTAGTTATTTTTACAACCCAGAAAATGTCTTTTGACTTAAATATTATCTTTGCTATGTTGAACTAACGAATCAATTGTTTTTTCGTTAGATAAAACTAGATTCTGGCAGCAGGTACCTCGAGTTGATAAGATGCCAAAGTTTTCTTATTTTGGGGGTTCAATGTTTAGATTTGTTAGACTTTAAACATGTTAAATATGTCTTTTTTATCATATTTATGTAAAAGCACTAGTTATATGAATTCAAATTAAATTCCAAGAAATTAAAATACATTAGCAATTGTTGTCTAATTTCGTTATAAACTCAAAGTGAGTCTAGTATCGTAATTCGTACCTTACTTTAGGTCTTAAATTGTACCAAGGCTGCCATTTTAAATGCTCAAAATACGCGTGAAGTATATTAATATAATATGAATTTTAAAATGTCGAAACGGAGATATGGTTTGTGGACAAAAGAAGATATAAAAGAGGCTATTTTTGCTTATCGAAATGGTAATATTGGACTTAATGCTGTATGTGCAAAATATGGAATTCCTAAACCAACATTAAAAAGACATATGAATCATCAAAATATATTTGCAAATGAATCAAATAAACAGTTAGGTAGGTGTAGTATCTTACCTCCTGAAGTTGAGAAAGAATTAGTTGAACATGTTTTGAAACTGGAATCTTGTATGTTTGGAATAAATACAATAGATCTTAGACGATTAGCATTTGAAATTGCTGAAAAAAACAAAATACCTCATCAATTCAACAAAGATGTTGGTATGGCTGGAAAGAAGTGGTATTACCAATTCATGAAACGCAATCCAAGCTTTAGTTTGAGATTACCTGAACCAACTTCTATGGCAAGAGCCACAGATTTTTGTAAGGAAAAGTTTGTATTATTTTTCAATAAACTTACTGAACTTGTTGATAACCACAATATTACTGCAGATTTGCTTTAGAACGTAGATGAAACTGGAATAAGTACAGTTCACAAACCAAGGAAAGTTTTAGCTCTGAAAGGTAAACACCAAGTAGGAGGTATTACAAGTGGTGAAAGGGGTGTGAATACCACTGCCATATGTTGTATGAATGCTGTTGGATCTTTTGTACCTCCTATGCTTATATTTAAACGTAAAAGATTTAAAAATGAGCTTAAAGATAGTGCACCACCATTAACAGTTTTTGGATGTTCTGATACTGGTTGGATAACTAAAGATTTATTTACTTTGTGGATAAGTCATTTTATAAGCTCACTTTGTCTTAAACCTCTTGGAGAAAATCCAGAACAAAAAAAAGTTCTTCTTATACTTGACGGGCATTCAACACATACAAAAAACCTTGAAGCCTTAGTTCTAGCTCGAGATCACGGAGTAATAATGTTTTCTTTGCCATCGCATACTACTCATAGGCTACAACCTTTAGATAGATCTTTTTTCAAAGCTTTAAATTCTAAATATAATACTGCTTGTGATAAATGGATGCGAACCCATCCAGGCAGATGTATTACTCAATATCAAGTATCTCAACTGTTTGGCAAAGCTTACTCAAAAGTTGTTGGTATGGAAATTGCTATTAATGGATTTAGAGACACTGGGATATGGCCGGTAGACAGCTCAGTTTGCCGGGAAGAGGACTTTTTACCTTGTGAAATACTCAGTGGAGAGACGAGTTCAAATGCAAAAGCTTCCCAAACAGTAAGTTTAGTCATAGCTTGGCTTTAGCCACATATTTTTCTTTCTCAACTTATTCAAACACCATAATTGTTACTGTTGTTCTAATTATATATTTTTTGTTTAACGTTTCATTTATTTAGGATGAACTTATTTTAGAAACAATTTCTGCACATCCAGTGCAAACTTCTTCACTCGAGCAAAATCCAAAAAAATCTAGAGCTACTCTATTGAAACATAATGCACATAATGACCCACTCTCTAACGTAACTTTATTATCATCAATGAAAAAAACAGAACAGTCAACCTTTTATTTTGTTTGTTACAATTTTACATTAATGGTTACACACACTCAAAACACACACAATACACACACACACATGTTCATCTCCGAAGGTTATCCATAATATTATTATTTTCTTAATTAAAATGAAAATTTAAAGCTAATTTATACTAGCAGAAAATTTTTAGGCTGAAGAAAATTTGTTAGAATTATCATTGGTTATTTTTTAGGTTGCAGTGTCTTACATACCAATAAAAGCATTATCTCCACTTCCAGTTAGAATTTCTCCTCTCAAAGGAAAAAAATTAATTCTAATACAACTGTATTGACGAGTAGGCCTTACAAAGATGCTCTCTCTGGAAGAGCTTTACTGCGACCAGATAAAAAAAAAAAGCAGGACAGGCAATGTTTGAAAGAGTGTGAGCAAGCAAATAAATCTCTTCAAAATGAAAGCTGGCCTTGCTATCTCTGTGAAGAAAATATAAAAAAGAGTATGATACAATGCCTTACATGTCAAGGCTTGTGCCATAATGACTGTGCAGGTGTTAATCAAAAACAAAAACGTGATATCTGTAACTTTTGTCAAGAATAAAGATTTTCTGTTTTGTATTATTAATATAATGTGCTGTAATATCCATCATTTTCTTACCAAAATTCTAGAAACCACATAAGTAAGTTACACATTTAATATAAAAGTTATACCTTATTGAGATGTTTTCAGACTATTCTTGGAACTTTTTTACATTGCTTGGCACAGAAAAAGATCTTTATAAAAATCATTCAAAATGTACTGTAAATTAATATAGTATTTGTAAAATCAAGATATAGGTACAATATTGGATTATAATGGTACGATTTAGGATCTTTTTTCCTTAATTGTACCGATAGCGTGTTTTTAAAATTTAATTCCCTATCAAATAACAACGTTTAAATATTTGTATATTTCAACTTTTTAGAACAGTTTATCCCCAAATTATAAAATAGAATAAAGTCTCATTGTTTCTACTTTGTATTTTTTTTCTATTTTTGACTTTACTCTTTGAGGGTACAATATCGGGAACCTTACCCTACGAATAATGTTGAAAAATAAAATTTTCATTTATTAGATCATATTTGATTTTGGTCTTTATTGCATAAGTAAAATTTTGAAAAGATATAGGAGCTAAGTTTTACATTTGAATATAAAGCAACATTAAAAACATTTGGTTGGTAGGGAAAGGTTGCGTAAGATAAGCAGGTTCATAAGATGGCATAACCTCTTTTACAGGTAGGCTAATGATTTTTTCGCAAACTTTTTTCGTTAAGGATATTCGACGGTTTTAGTTAAGGAAGTTCGACGGTGTTATTTATTTTAATTTCTTGGTTGTATAGTTAATATTATTTGATTGTTTTACAGTTAAAAAAATTTATAATCCCCGTTATAACTTTTTATTATTCAATATTATGTAATTACGTCAGAACGAAACAAGATCACCAAAAATTTATTACATCCTCAATATTAATTGCGTATATATAGCTAATTCATGAGTTACTTGAAATAATACATAAGCTGTTGTCATGTTATTTAAATTATGATTGTGCTTGGTGAAGTTGCTTAAGATATTTTTAGATGTTCAAGATAAGATGCAGATTATATGGAAAAGCGCGTTTTTTTAAAGTTATTCTCCGCGGAGCTTTATTTTGGTACTTCAAGAGCGAAAGTTTTTTCAAAAAATGATATTGCTAACTTCTTTACTTTTTTTTATTTTAGATAAGAAAGATTTATTATTGTTTTTTTTTTATGGTTAAAATAATTACTTTATACTTAAATATAGTCCTTGAAGATACAATTTAATTTGTTTTTGTTTTTTTGTGATTATTTTTTTGTTATTTTGATTTTTTTTGAGTTCCATTAAAAAAAGCTCACCTTAGGATACTGGTTTCCTAAGATGAAATGCTTGGGTGTGTTGAAGAAAATTTTTGGTATAAAGATTTATTTTTAAATGAACTATTCATTTATATTCTTTGAGAAAAAAAATTAAATCATCAATATTCTTTAAAAAATATATATCTTTTTGTAATCTTTTGGGGGCAAAATACATTTCACTGAAAACGTGTTCAACTTATGCAACTTTCCCCTATATGTTAAAAATATTCATTTCGAATAAAAGTGGTATTGCATGAGTAAAACAATCTTTAAAGTTTATTGGTTGTGCTAGATGCTTCTGTTGCAGATAAAGACAATCTTATCTAAGTGTAATTTTTTGTTGAAAACAATGCTAGATGCTTCTGTTCGTGCTAGATGCTTCTGTTGCAGATAAAGACAATCTTATCTAACTATAATTTTTTGTAGAAAACAATGCTAATCAGAACAGTAAGACATCATTTGAAAATTTTTTCTTATAGATTTGGATTCCCCGTATAACTCTATTCTAAAAGTTTTATTCCCTTTTTAAAATAAAAAAATGGACACACCCTATTGAGGTATCTCCTGACAAACTTTGCTAAGTTTTTATTTTGATAAAGTCAAACATAAACTCAAATCTTAATATTAAAATATTAAAAATAAATTAATAATAATTTATAAAAGGTTGTTAAAAAACTTTTAATATTGTTGAGTAAACCCTTTTTTTATTTGTAATCTTTCATTTAAATGTTTAGCATTTGAAGCAAGCACGAGTTGTTTTAATATTTAAAGATGGCAATATTTCAACAATATTTAAAGATGGCGATACTTCAACAATATTTAACTAAACATCTATTTAAACACTCTCATTTGTTCAGAAATTTTAAAGCGAATAATGCATTATAAATTTTACAAGTACCGTAAAAATCACACAACTTTTTATGTTAATTAGTACGGATTAGAAAAAATCACTCGGCACAGAAAGATTAAATGAGTAAAATTTAAAGGTGATTAAACGTAACTAATGAGACACTTGAGATTTTTATTGACTTTTCAAAAGCTTTCAATACTGTCAACAAAAATTTCATTTTTATTATTTTTTACAAACTTAAATGTTACGGAATACCTTTTAATAAATTCTAAAAATTTAAACTTAATAAATGAGTAACAAAATTCACTAGTCAATTCTAGGTCGTTTAGATTGAAAGTTTGATTACTTAAAAAAATTTTATTACAAAATTTTCAGGACTATTATAGAGACAATATTATGAAAAGAACAAATTATTTGGTGTACGTCCTGATGAGAAAATCAATTTTTAAAGGGGATCAGGGTAACTTTTTTCCCCTCCCCTTGCCCCCCTTTATTTATTAAAAAAAAAAAATTATACCATCTTTAGAAAAATCAAACATCAGATACATATTCAAAAATTCAATAAAAAATATCTTGGTGTTCAAAAGATATGAATATTTAAATAAAACTACAAAAAATTACGTTCACTTTACAATAAAATATAGTGTAATACTCATGTTATAATAAAACTTAATCTGCAATATTATTGTATAACATTGTATAACACAATAAAA